TTTGTTTGTATTTATAAGAATAGCTTATTACAAACTAATGAATCGAAATTACAACAGAAGCGGAGGGAAGACCCTCCTTGTTTAACGTGGGGACTTTGGTAGCTACAGGACGCCTCGCTCGGTTCTCGCACCGAGTCTGCTTCCCTTGGACGATTCGACCGAGGTTGTTGGTGAGCTTGAGTATGCAGTAGAAGCTTGTGTTGATCGAGTTTGAGTTCCCGAGCTTAATGGCTATCAGGGCTGAAAGCTGGAAGATGATGCTACAATGCAAAGGTCATGCAGAGAGCTTGTCGTCAACCCCGTCGAGAGTTGAGAGTCGTGGTTCAGCTAACTGATCAATTAACTGTGAGCCAACCAAACTGTTGAACCCCTTCTCCGTGGCTAGAAGAAGTTCTTAAATAGAGGAGAGACGGCGTGGCCACTTCTTGAATCATGGGATATGACCATGTACTATTAGGAGATACTATGCTCCTCACTTGCACCATGAGCGGTCGTTTGAGGGGCTCGGAGCACTATACTTTCCCCCTTCACGTTGTGGAAAATAGGAAGGCCTATCCCTGTATATGGTATAGCAGCTGCCAAGTACTCTGGCGAGTTTGGCGAGCTTGCCGTTTGCAGGCGAGTTCGGCTCTTGACTGTTGTGGAAAATAGGAAGGCCTATCCCTGTATATGGTATAGCAGCTGCCAAGTACTCTGGCTTGGCGAGCCTGCAGTTTGCAGGCGAGTTCGGCTCTTGACTCGTGCGGGCGAGGTGAGCTTCATGCAGGCAGACTTGACGACTACATGGATTTGACCAACCACTCGTACTATGAGCGGCTACTTGATGGGCTCGGAGTATTGTGCTCCTTCCCTTCACGTCGTGGGAAATGGTGTAGGCGTTAAAAATTGCCTATAGGTCCTCAAACACAATTCAAGACAAGGAGAAGATGATAAACGTTATTATCCAAGTCAAGGGAATTTATCTAACATTAGTAAGAGTATGAAGTGGATCAGTAAAATATACAAGTCAGCGAAGCGATGAACCATACGCAAAACAAGCTAATTTGAGGGGTTACGAATCGCCGAAATATCAAAAAGATGAGCGAAACACCACTCAGAGGCTTGTATAAGTGTGCGAGTCACCAAATGGTGGCTCGCACCCATGCGAGCCACCAAATGGTGACTCGCACAGTCCCGAGCCACCAGGACACTTCTTGAGTACCAAACCTCCCAAAACATGGATTTTGATATTTTTTAAGGATTCTTTCGTTTCTGAACCTCCCAACTGTTTTGAGGTTATCTCTAAACACGTTTAAACAATTATAAACTATAGATGACGTTTAAACACAAATTCTTATTCAAAAGGACATCTCCAAAAGCCTATAAATAAAAGCCTAGGGTCTTCTTTCAAGAGAATCTGAAGTTAAGAAGGCGAGGTGCTGTCAAATTATCCAGCTAACCACGAATTTCAGAGGAGAATCATCAGATCTTGGCGAACACTTTCATAAAGAAAGCTCTTTCGAAAGGTTTATGATTCTTTCTCCTTCTTTCCTCCAGATTAAACTTGGTTTTAATCTCGAGAAGAGCCACAATCTCGCTTGGTCATGATTGTCGCTTCCGCAATTGTTTCCTTTGTGAAACAAGAGCGTAATTATATTGTCTATCGGGTTTGATCTGCGGTGGTCCACGGACTAACGCGTCCCCGGCATAGGCAAAAATCCTACGCAAAGCAGCATGAGATAAACTACTACTGCGTTTTGTTTGATAAAGTTGTAATCTTTATTTTTCATTATAAGAAGATCTTATAAAAAGATTAACTTTTCTTTTAGTTTGAACTTGTAATCGATAAACGGTGTAACAGGTTTGAAAGCAATGGAAAATGTAACTTTTGTCAAAAACAAACTGGCGACCACAGTGGGAGCCGACAGCTTTTCTGCCGAAGCTGTAGTGTCGCAACCAAAGATCATCATCCCGATCAACGAGGAGGTCGAATACGAGTTTGACCAAGCAAAGTATGAAGAATACTTATCCTCATCTTCCCGATCATCCTCCCCTCACAGGAATAGAAGAGACTCCACAAGGAAGATTCGGAGACACTCGAATCTGAAGGTCCAAAACCAAGATCTTCACCTCGCTGTGGCTCAAGGCACACCTTGCAAAGCCGAAGCCACTACTGAAAACGCGCCGACCTTATCCAGGAGAGCGCGTCAAAGACGATGTCAACGTCTTGCACACCAATTGGCCATAGCTTCCGAGCTAGTTGATGGAATCCGTTATGAAGCGAATCTGAAGTCTAGAAAACATCAGCCACCACGATAGCGAACGGGCGACTGTTCCAAATCAACGGCGAATGAGTGGGTCCCCGTTAAGAGGACACGTCCAACTCTTGAAGAACGGATCAAGAAACACCACGCTTTACTCGCACAGGCAAGAATTCTAGTGCAAGAGGCCAAGAAATTACAAGCAAAAGATGTAGACAATAGACTGTCAAAACCACGACAAATCTGGAGGTCGAAGTCCAAAACAAGGCCCGAAAGAAACAGGTCATTAGCTGCTGGCTCGGCCAGGCCCCAAGCCACTCAAGTTGCTATAGCCGGGCCAAAGCCGAGGTCACAAACAGCTGCTTCGCGCAAGCCGAGCCACCAGCTACTGGCTCACATCGCCGTTCATCCCCTATTTGCAAAAATTTTGCCTCCTGCGACTAGTTTCGAGTCTCCGACAGCTCCTGTTTCTGTCCCGGTGACTTCCTCACCTTCAGTAGAACCTCGCGGCAGCGTGGATCCGTCCCGATTTAAAGTGAGTATTACGGATCGTCTCAGTCCTTTGCATAAAAATGAACCTTGGATGGCTCGTCAGAGTGGGGGTCGTACGTGACGCCCCAATATGTCAAAAATCTCTCCTACGGAGAAAGTACCGATGACCACTCACCTCGGGTTGCGAGTTGAAGTCCAAGAGCCCATTGGGTCCTCAAGCGCACGAAAGCGTGGGTTCAAACGAGCAACTCTTGAGAACAACGACAAGGCATTATACCCTCAAAGAGAGCTATGTTTGTCAGAAGACGATGACATTAGAATGGGGGGAATCATGCTAGCACAAGATAGGTTGCTCCGATAATCATATCGATGAGGTGTACTATCAGGCTGGGGGTATGAATAAATCTCGTAAGAGAAATACCTGGGAAATGGATTCTCTTTGCCCATGTACCAAACTCATTAAGGCGGTATTATCAGAGTGTAACTGTTCCAAGACCGCCTCACAAAGGATCTCAGTATTTGAGAGGCTTTCTACAGAAACGTTAGGACACAAGTCAAGACGTTTCCGTAAAAGGAAATCGGCTGTTCAAGAACGTGAATTCTCAGAAGTCACGATTAACATGACGGACAAAGAAAAGTCCACGCGACGCTTCAACCCCGAACCTTTTCCACAAATATCTCAGCGATTGACTCGTCTACAAACCGGGGTTATCAGGCCTAGCCAGTAAGAGGGTGGTCAGAAAGACTTATTTTTTAAATCTTATAATTTATGTTGCCTTTTAGTTGCTTTTAGCTTTTATGATAAAAGTACTATAAAAATTACTTAGGTAGAATAGTATTTTATTTGGTCAAACTTAACTTGCACAGGTGAGCTTATAAGCTAGTTTTTTAGGAGCTGGGGTACACTAAATTTTGAAAATGACACTTATAAGCTAAATTATTTATTACTTACCAAACAGATAGAAATAAAAAAGCTAGCTTAAATTTAGTTTGACAAAAAATAAGCCTTCGCAAACACCCTCTAAGACTTACTGGCTCAACTAGGTAAGCTCAAAAGTGTACTCCTCAATACTCTTATCGGCCTACCTTAGATTCATGAATGGCTGAAAACCGTCCCCAAATGTTGTCTATGGGAACAATTCAACAACCGCACCACTTGGATCATGAACCGTCACCTTAGACCAAAGACTACGGCAGCAAAGGTATCGGATGAGGAATCTTCCCTTAATTAGGCCTATGAGGGCGGTTTTATTATTTAGCGAGACGGTTATAAACCGTCCCCGTAGACCCATTATTTGGTAGTGTTCATAAAATTGAATGAATGAGAATTTTTTTTGGAAAACTCAGTTTTGTCTATTTTCCAACAATAGAATCGTTTGTGATTTTAAATTATCATAATTTAAATGAATACCGTTCAGCTTATCCAAAAATCTACATTCATGAACTTATTAATTATTGTAGATTCATGTTAGATATGAAGAGTATTTTGTGTTTAATGTCTTAAGTCTGAGAGTCATATTTTAGTAGTATATATACCTATATTGTGTCGCAAGTTTGTTCAAGGCCATTCAAATCTAAGCAAAGTCATCTTAGTGACTTTCTCCTCCATCTCGTGTATCTTGTTTGTGTGAGTCTGTGAGAGTTTTTATCACATTTCAACACCCATGTATAGCCTATAACGGGCCACAGGTTGGCATGGGACGAGTAACAGGGGCATTTGATTACAGTGGGACATAATACTAAAATCTTGTGAAAATATCTGAGTGATTATCTTGTACATAGAAATGATATTTTCGTGTAAGCAAACTTATTACGTAGGAATTTCCTTCTCAGGTATAGATGTATTTATTAATAACTTCCATACTGATGATATTTGATGAGTGTATCACGTGTACGTCTTTGTTTCTGTTCAGTTATCATCTCTTTCATAATCAGGATGGGTATATCCTTCTGGACAAGATGACTTTCAAAGTTACGATCTCACTGTAATGTTGAACAAATGCTTCATTGTCTAAAATAACAAGAATTAAGGACCTTAAATCTGCAAATATATATAGATCGTATATTGTTCCCCGTAATGATAAATGGGATACTACAATTTTTCTTAAGAAAACGGGTAGTAGAGTGGCTTGCTTTCAGTCACTCTACTACGTACCCATTTTCTTATGACAACTGCATGTTTGGTTTTCCCTCAAATTTAAATCCTAGGCATTAACTGTGTGATCAATTAAATTAAATCTCTTTTAGTTACAGTCCAAATTCTAGGCATGCCAACCACTCTGAACGAGGCACAAGTTTGCTTTTATGGAGAAGGTTCAATCTTGCTCTAGAAAGAGGAAAAGAGGAGAGAAGGTTTTCAGATTCGAGAGCTTCTGTGCACCTAGGCAACCAATACTTTTCAGTGGCTCGTTCCGAGACAACGTTAAGGCTCTTCTTGATTTCGGCCATCAAGAGGATGGAGTGCACGAAGGAATGCAGTTTTGGTCGTTTCGGCTCGAGCTTCATCAGTACCCTTCGACTTTCGTTAGGATGTTCATTGCTGAGGAGGCTGTTGGGCTGTCGCAGAATCGCCAGTGCCTTTTTTGCCGATTCGCTGGTAATGTGAATACCTGGGTGTATCTATATAACATGTTATCGTATACATCAATTTCAGTACTTAAAGGATTTTCCATAGTAAATGATTAAAAAATTGCTTTTTTAAAGTAGTCGTATGACTATCTTTTATCAAAGTCTAGTCCCATAGAAATTCCTGGTTTTCTTTCTTATGAATCTATTTGATATACTTTGTCGACAAAGTATATGTTTTGCTTATTTTTCATACATGCACACTATTTATTAATATTAACAACCCCATCTAACAAAAAGTTTACTTTATACGTGTGCTAATATCATAAATGTAACTACTCATGACAATTTATATCATCTATCTCTAAACTACTGTGTAATATTTACACTACGGCTAGAGCAAAATTGAAGGCACGATGATATCATTTCATCCATCCAGTTAAAGGGAAGGGTATAATTGTAATTTTAGTAAAACTAATTATGTTTGGATTGTGCCTTTTTCCAACTGAGTCATTTAGATATTACTCCCTCACATATTATATAATTGCAAAATTATTAATTTCCCTGGAATCTTTGAAATCGGTCATATGACTGTCAAATTCTAAGAGGCATTATAATTTGGTCTTTCAGTGATCAAAGTATTCATTGGCAAATATTTTAATTGAATAAGAGGGCTTTTGGGGAGAAACATAAACTAAAAAACGAGAGCTTTAGATGGAAAATTTAAACGAACGGCTAGTACTTTGGTCACCAAGATACCAAATTGCAAGACCTTTTTAGATTTGAAGGACCAATGAGCAATTTCAAAGATTTGAGGGACTAATTGAAACTATTAAAGATTCGACAGTCTGATCATTTCCACTTAACTAATGTTGTCTCAATCACAATATGACCATGTGTTTATGGATGAGGCTCAACTATTTGTGGGTGCAAACAAATCGAATGTGATTCATATATGACACTTATTTTATCTACATCTATTTTCTGAAAAAAAATATAGATACAAATATGATTTTCTTTTAGTAACAAAAAGTTATATCCAGATATCTTTTTTAAATGAATACAATTCACGTGTGAGAGAAACATATATACAAGAATGCTTGCAAATGAGAATTGGATACTTGGCAAACAGATATGCATTGCGAATAAATAAGAACTATCTATTAAATGCTCTATTTTGTAGCAAACAGATAAAACAATACTTAAAAATTACAATAAATTATCTGCTATCAATTTTTAAAAGTAATGTGTAAAAAATATATAATACAACCAAAATAATTTAATTCTTAAATGCTCATAAACCAATTGTGTTACTTAATAAATGACAAAGTTTTCTTTATCACAATTAATAAAATAATAAAATAATAAAATGATAGTACAACAAAATTTTACCATAAATAAGTCCAAATGTACAATTGATAATTTAATACACAATTGATAGCCTTAATAAAACACAATCCATATTAACTAAAGAACAGATGACCGCGTTCCAAAATGCAATTGTTATATCAAGAAAATATAAAAATTAACAATATCCTTTTTTAAGGAAAAAAAAGATGGGGACAGCGCACCAGGTGAATACTATTTACTATGAAAAAAAGTTGTTACATATAAAAGCCATACTCTCAATTCCAAAAATTATCAACGTCATTAGTTACATCAGACTAAAAAATATCCAAGTCCATATCCAAACCCCACAGCTTAACCCAAAGTTTTATACATAGATTCCTCAATAATGCAACGTCCTTGTTAAGATAGAAATCACTCAATTTGACTAAAAAAAATCAGAAAAAGGAACAATTTTTTTTATTAATAAGCTCAAGAGAACTCGGTTTTTTGTTAAGAGAACAATCTCTAATTTCTCACATACCGAATGCACTAAGTAGTTGGACAAATAAATATGTCCGATGGAAACTAGCCTCACAAGCATTCTTCATTCCCCAATTGAGACACAACTGTCCCCCCCTAAGAGAATATATCCAAAAATCATCTGAGATATTATGCTTAAACTGTATATATTGAAAATATGCCTCAAAACCCCAAGAATTTCTATAGCACTAGAATTCTTATATTAACAGAATTTGTAGCAGCTTATGCAATCAAATTCTATTGGTCATGCTATTTTTGGAATCTAAATAAGCTTATGGACGCTTGGCCCAATTTATCTCCAACTCCATGTCAAAAGAGGCAAATGTTATCTCACGTATAGACTTGTTCAAATTTGTCTCGTACCCGGATCCAAGTAGCCTCCATATTAAGAGGGTGCTTGGGGCGGTTTATTTTTTGGTCAAACTAGCTTTTAAGCTAGCTTTTTTTATTTTTACCTACTTCGTAAAATACGTAATAAGCTAGCTTATAAATCACATTTTAAAAAGCTGGTATATCTTAGCTTTTGAAATAATAACTTATAAGCTCACCTAAATAACCTATGTTTGACCAAACAGTACTATACTACCTAAATAGTTTTATAATATTTTTATCATAAAAGCCAAAAGCCACTAAAAGCTAGCATAACTTATAAGCTTCAAAAAATAAACCTTCCCAAACACCCTCTAAATGGACGGATGAGATTAGTATGTGATTAACGAGGAGTTAATTTGAGGCTTTCAATATACTCTAAAACCCTTAGTATTTGGTTTGCAGTCATTATATTTTCTTGGTGAAGAATAGAGAGAAAGAGAGACTTGAGGCCTTTGCCTTTTGTGAGTTCTTGAACTACTTTTCTCTTTTCATATTGAAAATTCTCTGACGCCTCTACCGAGGATGTAGCCCAATATAGGTGAACCACGTAAATTTTTGTGTTTATGATTGCTTGTCGTTTATTCTCGTGAATGTTCTTCGCAATTATTTTCCGCTCGATTGTGCACTTGTTCTCACAGATTGGTATTAAAACATAGATTTTCAATTTATTTTGGATACATAGAAGATGTTTGCAAAATACAAGATCTAGAAGTTTGACTGCGATGTCAATTTCTGTTTTGGCAAGATGCGGGTTATTCTTGTTCAGCAAGGATTACAGAAGGCTTTGTTAGGGAAAAAGTATATGCCGACATTTATGATAGATGATGAAAGTTTGAGATGGATGAAAAGACATTAACTTCAATCCAATTGTGCTTGTTGAACGAGATTCTTTGGGAGTCGTGCATAAGAAGACTGTAAATAGGCCTATAGCTCAAATTACAATTTCTTGACAAGACAAAAACCCTCGCCAATCGACTGCACTTGAAATAAAGATTGTTTATGCTTCACATGATGGAAGTTACATCTATTAAATCATATATGGATGAATTTAATGCGATAATTATAGATTTGGAGAATGCAGATGTAAAGGTAGAAGTTGCTAATCAGGCTTTGTTACTATTATGTTTGTTACCGTCCCCTTACAAGAACTTTAAAGAAACTATGATATATGATAGAAAATCTATCTTTATGGAAGATGTCAAGTCATTTTTATTCTCAAAAGAGTTGATGGATAAAGAGATCATCAGATCCAATGTTAGTAAAGTAAAAGCCCTATATGTTCGAGTGAGAAACATAGAGAGTGGTTCTAACAGTAAAATCAAGTCAAAATCAAAGTCAAAAACTAAGAGCAAATTCTGTAACTACTTGAAGAAGAAAGGACATGTCATGAATGAGTGTTAGACGCTTTAGAATAAAGATAAGAAGAAAAATTAGAGTAAAGAAGATTCAGCAGAGGCTAGGGTTATTGAGGATGATTATAATGGTTTTGTTCTCTTGGTTACAAATTCAAGCAAATCCAGGGATGATTGGGTTTTAGACTCTAGTTGTACTTATCACATGTGCCCTGATAGAGATTGATTTTTCACTTACAAATCAATAGAAGGTGGAGTTGTACTTATGGCAAATGATTCTTATTGTAAAGCGATTGGCACTGGTACAAATGAAGTTAGAATGCATGATGGTATTGTGAGGATATTATCAGATGTTCATCATGTTCTAGATTTGACAAAAAATCTTATCTCTCTAGGCACTCTTAAAGCTAACGGATGCAAGTAATCAACAGAAGGTGAAATTTTAATAGTTTACATAGATGCGCTAATCACCATGAAGGCAAAAAGATCAGAAAATCTCTACACCTTATAAGGAACGATGGTTGTAGGTGCTACTATAGTTACTATATCATCATTATTAGAGATCGATGCCACCAAGTTGTTGCATATGAGATAGAGACATATGAGCAAGAGGGATATGACTACTCAGCAAGAGGGGACTGCTTTGTTGTGGGAGTATAAGGAAAATGGTTTTTTTGAGCATTGTGTGCTCGGCATGCAAAAGCATTTCAGTTTAAATACAGCTGTGCATAGAACCAAATGCACTTTGGATTATATTCATTATGATTTGTGGGATCCCTCACATGTTCCTTTGAAGGCAATGCTAGATCTATCTTGACATCAATAATGACTAAGAAAAGTTTGGGTTTACATGCTACAACGCAAGGATGAAGTATTCAAGTATTTTAAGTAGTGGAAGGCATTGATTGACAGTAGACTGATAGAAAAATTTAGAGGCTAAGAACCAATAATGGATTGGAATTCTGCTCATTAGAGTTTGATGAATTCTATAAGGATTAGGATATAGTTAGACATTAAACTGTGCAACAAACACCACAATAAAACGGCGTCACAAAATGGATGAATAAGACTCTCATCTTAAGGAAGCTCACTGCATGTTGTTAAATGCTAATTTGTCAAAATATTTTTAGGTTGAAGCAATATCTACCGCGTGTTACTTAGTGATTTTCTCAACATCCATATCAATTAATTGCAAGACACTAGAAGTGGTATGATATTGTCATCTTGTTGATTGATCTAATTAAAGGGTATTCATTTATCCCACACATGCACATGTAGATCATTATAAATTAGAACGTAGATCTAAAAATATATATTTTTATTGGTTATACTTCTGGGATGAAGGGATATAAGTTGTGGTGCCCTAATCGTAAATCACCTAAACTCATGATTGAGAAAAATATAATGTTTCATGAGTTTGCTAAGTTTCTTCCAAAAGAAAACACTTTTGTTGTTCCTTCTAATGTAGGTACTACACATAAGAGTCCTAGAGAGAATGTGGAGTTGGAGATAGATTCTCATAATTAATGCCCGAAAATAATGAGTAAAAAAAAGTAGAGGAGAAGATGACACTTATAGTATTGCAAAAGACAAAGAAAAGAGATTGATAAAACCATCTCAGAGATATATAGATTCAACCATTGCATATATATTGTTAGCAACTCAAGAGATAGGTGACGCATGAGAACAGAGTAGCTTTTTAGAAGCAGCTTCAAAGCAGGACTATGAAAATGAGTTGATTTCTATGAATGAGGAGATGAACTATATTCATAAAAATCAGACTTAGAATTTGGTAGTTCCACTAAAAGGACAAAGAATCATGGATTAGAAGTGGGTATTCAATAAAAAGAAATGAACGACATATGGTTTAGATGCAAGATATAAGGATCCACTAGTTGCAAAACTCTACAGTCAGGTCGACGGTATTAATTGCAATGATATTTCTTCACCTGTTGTTAAACATACTTCCACAGGTTGAAGGTATTGATTATAATGATATTTTTCACTTGTTGGTAAACATACTTCCATCTATCTTTCATTATCACTTGTTATAGTATATGAGTTGGAGTTAGAGCAATTAGATATCAAAATAGCTTTCTTGCATGGTGAGCTTGAAGAGCATATTTTTATGCAACAATCCGAGGAATTTTTTATTGAAGGAAGAGAAGATCGTGTTTGTTTGCTGAAAATCTCCATACTGCTTGAAGCAATCTCCTCGCCAATGGTACAGTAGGAGCAAATATGATGCTTGTATTTACTTGAGAATATTGAATGATGATTTTCTTATTTATCTGCTATTGTATGTCAATGATATGTTGATCTCAGCTAAGGATATATCTAAGGTGAATAGGTTAAAGATTCTACTTGGTGCAGAATTTGTGATGAAAGACTTAGGAGTAGCAAAAAAAATTATCAGCATGAAAATTTCTAGAGATAGGAAAGAAAAAAAAAGTTGTAGTTGTCACAGAAAAGCTATATTGAGAAAGTCGTCGCTCACTTCGATATGCATAAACCAAAACCGGTTACCACTCTTCTTGCAACTCACTTCAGGTTATCAACACTATATAACCAAGCACAGTTGTGGATTGTGACTACATGTCTCAGGTACTTTGTGTGCGTGTCATTGGGAGCATCATGTATGCGATTGTATGTATTCAATTGGATCTTTCACAAGTAGTCGATGTTGTTATGAATATGTAAAATCTCAAAAAAGAGTATTAGCAAGTGAAAAAATGGATTCTTAGATACTTGAAAAGAACTTTAGATGTTGGCTTGGTATTTAGTGGAGATAGTTGCGCGTATTGCACTGCTATAGGATATGTTGATTCCTATTTTGCGGGTGATTTGGATTAGTGTAGATCGACTACAAGTTATGTTTTTATTCTTTTCGGAGGTTCTACCTATTGGAAGTCAATGTTACAACCTAATATTGCTTTGTCTACTATAGAGATGGAATTTAAGGCGGCTACAGAAGCTGTGAAGTAAGCAATATGGTTGAGAGATTTTCTTAATGAATTTGGAGTTGCGTAGAAAATTTCTCTTGTTCATTGTAATGGTCAAAGTGTGATTCATTTTGCTAAGCATCCTATCTTCAATTCAAAAACTCGAAGCAGATTGAGGTTAATTATCATTTTGTTAGAGAAATTGCTAAGAAATGCAAAGTAGTCTTGAAGAAGATTGACAACAAGAATAATCTGGCAGATATGTTGGTGAATCCATTACCATTAGTCAAGTTCAGGCTCTACTTAGGTTTGCTTCATGTTAAGGAGCATTGAGGTGTCCTATGGCGCATTTGGGGGCATTGATAAGAAACAATCGAAAAAGTTTAGAACTCAGTTTGGAACTTGAAGTCAAGATGGAGATTTGTTGAAAATATGGCCCAAAACCCCATGAATTTCTATCGCACATGAATTCTTATGTTAATTGCATTTGTAGCAGCTTATGCAATAAAATTCTATTGGTCATGTTATTTTTAGAATGACAAAACTCACTATAGAATTCTAATGTGTTTGCCAAATGTCATTTGAGTTCTTAATATTTAAAAGTCGTCGATAGAGATCTCTAGCGTTTTTTCCGTCATCAAATTAGGTCCTTTTTAAAATTTTCTGTTGTCTATTGCTAACATGGCAGCTGACTGGACTGTCTTTTTCTCTCTCCTTTTTTCCATATAATCCCCTACAAGTTTTAAAATTTATAAACAACTTCCTAAAAGTTTTGAACATTATAAATAGCCCCTAATTTTTTCACTTGTTTTAACAATATAGATTTCCAAGTAGAAACCACTCCAAATAGAAAGAATAAAGGTAGCAATATCTGTAAGTGTATCCGCATAGAAATTCATACCTAAATCCTTGATCGAATCATGTATGAATCTATATCCAAATTCATATCCAAATCAGTATTCGTATCTGTATGCATATCAATACAAAAATCGGATATCCGTATTCATTTTTAGAATTCAAAGTGATATTTGTATTTGTAGCCTTATACATATCCCATAAAAAATTTGAAACCATATCGTATTCGTATTTATAACGTACTGCTTTCGAGTATTGACTGCCATATTTTCATCTGCGAGGTTTGATCGTCCGTTAAGATATATCCTAACTGTTTTGCGACCCTAGTCTAAAACAATTTCTTGAGTTTTCCTTCAAATTCTCAAAAGATTTAATTCTTTTCAATCATCTACGTTGCATCACATCCACGTTTTTAGTCATGTTTTGTGACTTTTAAGAGAATTGCGAAGTTCATTGTGGGGTCCATTCGTAGTTTACACAAATAGAAATACTACAAAATCTATTGGCAATTGGATGATAGTAAAAGGACTCTATCCGGAATTAATACTGTTTAAAAATTTCATTTAATTAACATTCTATTTTTTCTTGCAAAATTCCAAAGAAAAAAAGCTGCAAAGTAAAAAACCGAGGTGTTGAATTGTTTGTTTGTTTTTTTTTTTAAAGAAGTGGGAGGATATTCACTTATTTACTCACAGGTTGGGGGCACCACATGATCTCCAACAAGAGATTCCACTTCGTGCTGCCATTCAAAAAAACTAAATCAGATGTCGAAAGCTTGAGCATAGAACTTGGTAGAAACAGACCAGGGATATCGTCAATGGGCTCGAAATTGATGGGTTCACAAGGAAAGCATCTAATGCATGGAATCATGCACTCTAATGGCTACGGACATCTCATTACTGTCAATGGCATTGAAGGAGGCTCTGATTTCATCTCTGGACATCAAATCATGGACTTGTGGGATAGGATTTGCACTGCTTTGCACGTGAGGTACTCAAATTTTATCCTTCTTTTTTCGGGTTAATTGCGGAGAGACACTCCATGCCATAGCCTAAGTGTGGATAGACCCCCCCCCTATAATTCTATTTATGCGGATAAATCCTCTTGAGTGGGCCTTTTTGAATCTTTTAAGACTGAGACATTCACCCAGGAGATCTATCGACACTTGCGCAACTAATACAGGGGGTTTTATCCACAGTTGGAGGATACTTTCTCTTCTGATTATGCCCAAATGAAGTGAAAAGTTTAAGAGATGATATACTCCGATTAGATGAGATAAAGTCCTCCGTGGTTGTCATATTCTCTCGAATTAAATTTTGATTTGAACATACATGGCAAATTGTTCTCAATTCCTTTTCCTTCATGAAATTTCAGAAAAGTGAGTATAACAGATTCAGCAAAGAAGGGAAGCATGGAACTAAGGCTAATTCATGGACTAGTGTATGGTCAGCCCTGGTTCAGTCGCTGGGACTACAAACTAAGCCATGGAAGCTATGGCGTCACTCCCCAAATGTACCAAACCTCGCTCGAAGCCCTACGAACTCTCCCCTTATCAATCCTCCTCCCCAATTTCGCCTCTATCATTGCCAAGTACCAAACCCTAAGTGGGCTCAAGTTACAAACCATAGCCGACTTAACCTGCTTCATTACAGAGCTGAATCGTCGATTGCCCCCAAACACCCCTTCGACATTCGACTGTCGAGAAATCATCAGCGAGCCAACTTGTCGTTGGTCGATGAAACGAGTTGAGATGGCTGCTCAAGTCATAGTCGGGGCTCTAAAGAAGTCCAAATGTCGTTGGGTCACAAGACAAGAGGTCAGAGATGCCGCCAGAGCCTACATTGGTGACACAGGCCTACTAGACTACGTGCTCAAGTCTCTCGGCAACCACATTGTTGGAAACTATGTTGTTCGACGGATGGTCAACCCGATAACCAAAATACTTGAATACTGCTTGCAGGTAGGGTGGAAATGAGTCAATCGAATACCTTTGTGTTTTTATCTGTATTTATATAATTTTTTTTTGAATTCGAATATCATTATCTGAATTTCTCCGAATCTGAATTAAAATGTACTTTTAAAATATTTGTGAATATTTATCGATACGGTATATTTATTTGATTGAAAATTTATAGTTATCTGTGAATTTTAAACTATATAATTAAAAAATAATTTTTTTTGATTAGCAAAATTGCAAAATTTGTGTTAAAAACTGACATATATAGGACTCTTTGAGTTTGTCAAATTTATTATATAAATTAAACCACAATATGTAATGGGTCAAAATCTAACATCAAGCATATAATAATACAAATTATAAGGATGAAATTTTAAACTAGTTTCTTATATCAATACATCTGGTTAAAATCTATCCATTAATGAACTATAAACTAAAAACTATTTGTTTACTGTTAAATTAACTTCTAAATATTAAGAAAAACAGTTAATGAAATATTTGTTAATTATTTAGTTAATTTTCACCTTCCTTGCAGGATGTATCTACTGTTTTCCCTAGCTTGGATCATTTCGGTTCACTTCGTTTTCATGTCACAAGGTCTCAGCTCAAGAAAGACATGATGTACCTCTACAATAACATATTTGGAGCACATAGCACATTGGCTGCCGATGGGGTTTTCAGGGCAATACTTATCGCTGCTAGGGTGATTCTCGACGCCAAACACCTTGTTAAGGATTACAAGGTGACAGGTGGCTCGTTACAAGACACCCAAATGAAGAACAATGATCAATGTTTAAAGGTAATGTGCACGATACGAATCATGAACAATCAAGAGAAGAAGGAACTGCCACCATATGAGATGTTCACCTTTCAGCTCAATGCAACAATTGGGGACCTGAAGAGAGAGACTGAAAAAAAGTTCAGGGTAATCTATTTGGGCCTGAAGAGCTTCACTGCAGAATCAGTGGCTGGTCTTAATGCTGAAGATACTGATTTCATTGTAGGAGTACTTGTTGAGCTTGGCAACAAAGTGATTGTTGAAGGAAGAGTAGTTAATAATGCAGATGAGATTTATGAGGGTGGAAAAGATGTGGATTGCCATTGCGGAGGGAAGGAGGAGGATGGAGAGGTGATGGTGTGCTGCGATATCTGTGGGATTTGGCAGCATGCAAGGTGTGCAGGGATTGAGGACGAAGAAGAGGATGTTCCTAGGGTTTTTCTCTGTAACTTATGCGAGAACAATATTTCCGCATTGCCTCCAATTCAATACTAGATTTATATGACTTGATAACTACTGTTTATTCAACTTGGTGATCTATCAAGTTTGATCATCAAAGTTGTAGCTATGATTTTACTTGTAATAAATTCATCCTAAATGGAGGAAGGGATTATGTCACTTGTAAGATGTTGGTGTACTAGATTCCCTGGAACTACAAAAAGATATGCTTATCGAATAATTTCTAAGTTTTAATAATGATTCATGGACTCTGGGGAAATAAGAAAAAATTGATTCTAAGGCTATCCGGAGAAAGCTTCTTTCATTTGATTTCACTCAAAAATTGCATGGTATTTCAAAGGTATGTAAATCCATTAGTAACGGAACATGAAAGTTAAGGTCTAAACTAACGCCTCGTTTGGTACGCGGGAATGGGGTGGAATGGAATGACCATTCCTACTTCTCAGTCCCCCAAACCAAACATAACCATTTTTTAGAAGTTGGAATGTCTATTCTAAGGAATGCCCATTCTCACTTTTTATGGGAATGAGCATTCCAAGTGAAGATGAGGAATGGTCACTCCCATTCAATTGAGAATCAAATTAGTTACATAATTTCTAATTACACCCCCATTGATAACAAAAATAAATCTAAAAATCTTGTCTCATTGTGCGACATAACCAGATTAATAACATGTATATGTATGAACGATTGATTAATGTTTTTCCTAAGGCTTGCATATATAGGGAAATGGATTCTAGGATAAAAACACGAAATATTGCCTATTTTTATAAAGTTTATTTTAAAAAATAAAATTATTTAATTATTATCATTAATGTTTATTTTTATCTTATTAAAAATCTATGTTGTTATAAGGGCATTATTAGAAAATAAGATTTTATTCTCACTTGTATTGAGCGACATAACCAGATTAATAACATGGATATGTATGAACAATTGATTAAGATGTTTTTCCTTAGGCTTGCATATATAGGGAAATGGATTCTAGGATAGAAACACGAAATATTGCCTATTTTTATAAAGTTTATTTTAAAAAATAAAATTATTTAATTATTATCATTAATGTTTATTTTTATCTTATTAAAAATCTATGTTGTTATAAGGGCATTATTAGAAAATAAGATTTTATTCTCACTTGTGAACTAATGATACCAAATATGAGAATCAGAATGGGATTTTTATTCTAGCTTCATTTTACAAAACATACCCAAACAAGAGAATGAGAATGAGCATTACATTCCCACATACATTCTATTAAATTCAATCTTCCATTCCAATCTCATTTGAGTCCATTCCTGCGTACCAAACGAGGCATAATAGTTAATGTCATTGCTAAAAAGTTAGAAAGAATATTAGAGAAGATTGGTAGAATCAAGTTGTTAAAATAATTTGTTACCTTGATATCTAGGAGATCTTTTTAGTTATGATAAAATAAGTCCGGATACATTGAATCTGGATTCCACTATATTATAATACCTCTTCTTCGATTATCAACATGGCATCAGAGCGTCCCTCACTCTCAAAACCCTAACCCTAGCCTTTCATGCCCAAAACCATATTTTCCCACCAACCTCTTCTCCAATTATCAACATGGTATCAAAGCGTCCCTCACTCTCTAAACCCTAACCTATCCTTTCATCACCAAAACCAAATTTTCCGACCAACTTGCAGCCCCCTTGAATGCCAATTCCATGGATACGTTAGTCTACCAATTGGTTGTTTTTCTTGATACTACAAAGGTTATTTGCGATTCTCTTAATCAGATGTTTTCTTCTCCTAACAAGCTGCAACAATTGTATGATATATTCAAAGAGATTATTGAGACCAAGTAGGGTGATGACATATATGCATATCTCTCCAAGTTCGTCAATATCTAGAGGAGTGGAAGATTTATCAGCCTACTATCCTAATCCAGCTATTTAAAAAAAAATAACGAGAAGCTCTGTTATCTACGTGATCTTCGTACTCAGCTTCCTCATGTCACTATACCATTTGTCCTAGATTCCATAGCTCTCTCAACACATGCATCTGCAGAGGCGACGGTGCCTCTAAAGGCTACTCACGATAATTCTCTTCCACTCACGGACGTCTGACTTACCCGTCTCAAGGTCCCGGTGACAAAGAGCGTGGCCACAATGATGGATGTCAAGGAACAAACCATGAAATGCAACTTCCTCCTCTTAGGTTATGCTTTCTATAAAAGAATATCAAGCCTTCCGATAGCTGCTGTCTAAACCTTCTAGTAACTCTGTTCAATCAGGTAATGTCTGTTTTGTATCTTCTCATCAATGTATTATTGATTCAATTACTTCTAAACATATGTCTCCTTTATCTCTTTCATCATTTCTCAAGCTAATAACTTTAACGTTCATGTTGCTAAAGGTTCACATGTCCCTGTTAATGGGGTAGGAAATAATACTCTCATATCAGATCTTTCTCTCATGTTTGTATTACAAATTCCTAGTTTTCCAAATAGTCTTTTATCTATTCATAAAATCTACAATGATTTAAATTGTTCGTTGATATTCTTTCCTTCTCAATGTGTTTTTAGGGTATTGTGATGAGGGGGGTGATTGGGGCCAAGTTATGAATAGCATGGTTGTTGGTTGTTTTGTTGGCCCAATAAGTTGGCCCGTTACTCTAAATACCCAGCTCCCCCACTTGTGCCCTAGCCCCTCTCTTTTCTTCACCTACCCGATGGTTCTCACCCCTCCTATGAGATTCAGAGCTAAGTGCTCCTCCCCTTTGTGTGATTAACCTCCTTCTGTGAGCTTTGTGCTCCTGAGAGCTTTGTGCTCTTTCCCCCTTTGTGCGACCCCTCTTTGTGAGTGACTGGTGAAGGAGATCAGTGAGCTCTCCCCTTTGTGTTCTTGGTGGTGCACTGTGAGTGGAGAACGGGGACTGATTTAGCAGGTTTCTGAGCCAAACGACAACTAGATCCTCAACAGTGGTATCAGAGCGAGGTTAGTGTCGTTGTGCTTCAAAACCGCCGTCGATCGCCGCTGGTCGCTGCCGCTGGACACCGTCGGACCGCCGCCGGACCGCCGCCGGACCACCGCGTGGGCGTGGGTAAGGTCGAGACCCTCTCCTAGGGTTTCGCTCTGGTATATCATCGGAAAACCCAACTGTTACCATTTTCTTTTTCCTTCGAAATCTGTTTTCGCTCAGGAGAATTGACAAGAAAAAAAAAATCTTGCCTGTGTTTTCTTTCCGCTGCAGTTAAGCTCTGACCTTGTTGAAAATATACAGTAAAAATTCTGTATTTTTTTCCCGGCTATAGTTGCATTTTTTTTGGAAAGTAGTTTCTGTTATTGTTTGTGCTCGTGTGAAAGACCAAAGAGAGTGAAACAAGAACTCTGTGTTCATCGTTCTTCTCATTTGTTCGTGCTAGTTGCTTCACACGTTTTGAGCCAGATAATTACCGAAATCAGATTTGTTCATTGTTTAGTTGCTGTTTGTTTTTTCTGTGTGAAAAATGTCTGCTGCTAATCAATATAGTATGATCCAATATGGTATGGCTCCGTTCAACGGAAAATCTGATTTTAGCATTTGGAAACAAAAAATAAAATGCATCTTAATTCAACAGAAGTCTTTTAGGGCTGTTGGTCAGACTTACCTAACTTCTGACACTGAAGGAAAAAGAGCTGAAATGAACGAAAATGCTTGTTCCACAATTTATTTGAACTTATCTGACTCTGTGATTAGAAAAGTTGGAATTTTGGACTGTGCTAAAACTCTTTGGGATAAACTTGAAGAACTCTATACTGAAACCTCTTTGCCCAGTAAAATGTTTTTGCTTGAAAATTTTTTCAAATTTAGATTGGATATGTCTAAGGATATTGAGGAGAACCTAGATGTTTTCACAAAACTTATTTCAGATATTAAGTTAACTGGTGATAAACATATAGACGACTATACTCCTATTGCCCTTCTAAATGCTATTCCTGACTCATATAGTGATGTGAAATCTGCTATTAAGTATGGTAGAGATGAGGTTACCCTTGACATTGTGGTCAATGGTCTTAAGAGTAAGGAATTAGATTTAAAACATTCTGGGGAAAATAAAAATTCTGATGAGGTTTTGCATGTGAGGGGTAGGCCTCAGAATAGGTCTAATAACCAAAATAATGCTAGTAATGGGGAATCAAGTAGGAAACAATTCGAAAATGGAATGGGTAGATCTAAAGTTAGAAAATGTTATAACTGTCATGAAAACGGTCACTTTATTAGAGATTGTCCTAAACCTAGGAAAAATCAACAAAATGATCAGACTAATATGGCTGTCTATGAGGACGAAATAGGTGAAATTTTCATGATTTATAATCTGTGTGATTATGCATATCTGAACTCTGTGTTATCTGATTCTTTGTGTCAATCAGATTGGTTGGTAGACTCTGGTTGTACTTTTCATATGACTCCATTTAAAAATATGTTTTCAAACTACAAGAAAATAGAGAATGGCTTTGTGTCAATGGCAAATGAAAAGAAATGTAATGTTTTAGGAACTGGTGATGTATGCCTTAGGTTTTCTTCTGGTTCTGTGTTTACTTTGAAGGATGTTAGGCATGTTCCTGATTTATGTTATAACTTGATTTCTTGTGCATCTTTTAGGAACTGGTGATGTATGCCTTAGGTTTTCTTCTGGTTCTGTGTTTACTTTGAAGGATGTTAGGCATGTTCCTGATTTATGTTATAACTTGATTTCTTGTGCATCTCTAGAAAATGATGGTTTGGAGGGAAAATGGGGGTAAAGGGGTTATGAAAATTCTAAAAGGGTCTCTTGTTATGTTTTCTGCTGAAAAACAAAATAACTTGTATGTTTGTCATGCTGAACCTGTGCTTGATTCTGTTAACTCTGTGATAAGAAGAGATGTTGTTTATGAATTTCCTTGTTTACCTTTACCTGTCCCTATTTCTGAAAATGATGCTCCAAATGAGGTGGAGCAAATGCCTATTATTAATCAACCCGAATCACATCCTGATGAAATAATTATTGAAAATCAAGATGAGGTTATTCCTAATGAGGTGGAGCTTGATATGCATGAGATAGATAGCATGCATGATTTGAATTATTTTTTTCTTTGAACTCGATGACCGTTTGGTAGAGTTCGGTCCTTTGTGGACTCAGCATGCTTTGTGTGTTGCCTTTGTGGCCTATTAATCTGCTTTGTGCTTGGGTAATTTTCTCCCTTTGCTTTGTGTGTTGCCTTTGTGGCCTGTTAATCTGCATTGTGCTT